AATCTACAAATAAACTGTTTTAGAAGTCTAACTTACCAAGCAAGGATGTCTAAATGAGTTGACATATTTATCTTTGATGTAGACGTATAATAAGAATTTGAATTTCGAGCCAAATTCCACTGTTGACATTTTGGGTAGAGTTGCTTCCCTTGAGTTTAGAAATACTCAACATAAAAATAATTCTTAATAATAAATACTCTCTATACGTTTATAATTTAATATTTTAACGAAATAAACAAAACTTGTTTTAAATAGAAATATTTTTATTATCATTACAAGTACATTAATTCACTGCGAACCTGTGATAGTAATACGTCACGTCAGGGCGTCGCGGACAACGAATGTTTGATCGAAGTTGTGGAAAAAAGTCACTGTTGCTGCTGTAAAGCATGCGTTTAAAATCACATGCATTGACAGTTATAAAGAATGGTCCCTTCCGAAAAGATTGGTTTGTGTTTTATAATTTTCAATTGAAAAATGATTGTGCGACAGCCTGGTTATAAGCGAGGGGTTCCCCGGTGACCTAAAATGCGTTGCACTCCTTCTGTTATTATTATACGTATGACGTATTTTTTTTATTTCCCGAAATTTTCGGTAAAATTGATAGGTACGCGAACTCCTGTGATTTTACAAATTTATCCTTCTTCTAACTTATGCATAATTATACCCTCCGCTTAAAAAGTGGGAGGGTATGTAGTAATCGGGTTTCCGTCCTTCCGTCTGTCCGTCTGTACGTCCGTCCGTCTGTTACGCTTTATCTCTAATCCGCAATTCCTCTTATACTATTATGAGAAATTAAATAAAACTTTCACAGAATCTTACACTGCATGAAAAGTCGGGTTTAATTTTACCTTAAATGTGATTTAAATGCTGCGATTATTTAATGTTTAAATACATATTATAACATATTGTGGGATCATAAATGTTAGAAAATAATTAGCATTTAATACGAGTTTAATGAAAAATTAAAAGAACAAATTTAATAAAGTTTGGAAAATTGTAAACTTACTAATACGTTCAGATTTTAGTCTGCCGTAAACAATTATTATACCTCTAATATACAAAACGTATAATTATTATTAAACATGGCCATAAAATTAAGTTTTACGGTCACATTAAATTTGTTCGTTTAATAAAATTTAACGTAGATCTTTACCTCATTATTTTTGTTAAATTCACACTTTACTTTATAATACTTCCAAAAATAAAGTTATATATGAAAATTGTAAACTTACTAATACGTGCAAATTTTATTCTTTCATAAACTAATATTAAATCTCTTGTATATGTGATGAAAATGTACGGATTAAACCTTCCCATATAATTAAGATTTAAGGTTGTATTTGATGAAATTTAACATTATTATATTATTGCATAATATTTTTATTTTACATTTATTCCATCAATAATTTGTATGGTTTACAATTGTGGGTTTTTTGGCAAGTATTTTACAATCTTACACAAATCCATTTCTCATTCAATTTTATTAGATGTTATCTCAATAGTGTACAAACAATGAGTTCTAACAAAGTACAAAATATTTCAAATTTAAGCCTAAAAGTCAGAATTAAAAAATTTACAATCATGATTGTAGCTCAATAATAATGGAGTAAATTTCTACATACTAGTAGTAAGTAATATACTGAAGTCATTATAAATAATATAAGAATAGTATTGTATGTAATATTCAATTCCGCAATAAATCAAAACACAACAGGTAAAAAATGTAGTCATTCTGGACTCCAAAAGACTGCAAAATCTGACTGAAACTGCCCCTATTAAAACTTCTGCATGGGTTGTAAATGGCTTTTCAATTTCCCACAATAAATTATATCATACTTTGCATAAAAAGAATAAAAGTTGCCAATAATAGTTGTCCATTCTTTTGACATGTACATTTTAATAAGACACACTAAGCCACTAACAGAGAAGCCTCACTCGCCCACAAGCAACAGCAAAAGGATCGGTCAGAGACACCACCTTTCTCTTGCTTGGGTATCAAGATCTGCAACTTACTGCCAGCAAAGCTCTTTTAGACCACCCTTATATTGTTTCCCAAGTATTTCAACAATAGATGTCCATGCACTAATTATCCAAGTACTTAATGTTGACTGTGAAAAATACAAGACGCAAAAAAATCCTTTATATCATTTGGTTATGTCAATTCAAATTAAGGAAAAACAATACAAAACAATAGCAGCTTAAATTTGTTTACAATACATGTAGCTCATTTCTGTTCCAACTGCTAGGTTTATTGCTTGATGATTGTAATATAACATATCCTCATTAAATCAACGTTACATTGGAATGCAAAACATTTCAATAGTGATATTTTCAACTTTGCTTTAAAATATCAAAAATGAGCTCTGAAACATGCACATATAAAAGTCCTGTATAAACATAAGTAAAAGTATATTTAACAATTTTTTTAGCCTTAATTACAATTCCATAACTCATAATTCATAAACTCTCTTACTTCAAATGGAAGGAAACAAATTAATATTTTACTCTTGCAATTCTCATTTATTCACTCTTGCAATATCAATTGTAATATTTGTTAAAATCACAATTTACCCCTTTTTTACTCAGAAATGTCTCTACCTCATTTGCCTATTCTATTTTTTACATCTATGACTCACTAAGCCACTGACAGAGAAGCCTCACTCGCCCACAAGCAACAGCAAAAGGATCGGTCAGAGACGCCACCTTTCTCTTACTTGGGTATCAAGATCTGCAACTTACTGCCAGCAAAGCTCTTTCAGACTACCCTTGATCATGATTGTCTTATTTTTTCCACAATAATGTCCATGCACTTATTATTTAAGTTAGACTCGTACATATATGTGATATATAAATCAAGATTAAAATGTATGTGATTGCAGACCAATAAATGTTTAAACAATAAAATACATAACAGTTTTAATCTGTAATCAAGCATAAGAAAAAACTTTCACTTTCAAAAATACAACACTAGGTATTATTTTTCTTATCTAACATTGAATTTGTGCAAAACAGTAGCAACTCAGATATTTCATCTCTAATAGCCCATCTCTGTTCAATTAATACATCCATAGGTTTGACTCTTTTAGATTCTTTATTTGTCCTAGTTCTTCTTATGCTCTGCCTTTTAGAGTGCTTTGATTTGAGAATGGCACTTTTGGTGTCCTGTTCTTTGAAGACATTCTCACATTCATCAGAACGCAACTTCAGCTTTCTAATTTCATAGATAGTATTATCTTTAGAATCATTTTTCATACTATGAAGATGTAATCATGATATTTAAAACTGCTTTTTCTTGCTTCTTCTTCTCTTCATGCCAAGAAGTTTTCAGCTCTGGAGAAGCACACCTAGCTCCTAATTTCTACAATAAACATAAAAATAAATACCCATTTGCCTATATATACATATTATATGTGTGCTTCCGGTTTTATGCAATTGCATATATTAAATAGTAAAAACAAAATCTGAGTTGATTTTAAAATTATCATTTGACCTAGAGGAAGCACAGCTCAAATTTGCTTAATTAAAAATTTACAGAAGACTACAAAAGATATGCCATTTTTTCAAATCTGGGTAATAAAGACAGATAATTATCTATAATTTCAGGCCAGCGAGCTACAAATTTCGAAGCGTGTAAATTTGGGTCTAATGATTTTTTTCACCATCTTTTTTTTGGAGCATTTTACCTGCTTGACCTTGAACATGTTGAGGTGCCCTTTTCTCTGCTCCTCCACACTAATTCTTTCATTTAGCAGCAAGATACTATGGATATGGTAAAAAGCTGTCATAAACAAAATATGAAAAATTAATAACAGGTGTGGCTCTCCATAGAAAGAATATTCAAAAAAGGAGAAAAAATATACAAACAGGGTATACTTATGACTAACATCACTACGGCAAGAAGATAACATTTTACACAATGAAAAAAATTCTCTGTGTCATCTAGTTAAGTGAATTGCATAAAAAAAACATATAATTATATGTATAGATCAAATTTATAGATGACAAAATATGATACGAAACATACATAATGGTACCGTAGTCCGAGCACATGGAATTTGAAAATTTACAAAGTTTAGGAAAATGCAAAGAATAGCATTTACAGCATTTATCATATTAAGACACACATATATATAGTTTCACAGCAGCAAGCTGCAGAATTTGTGGAAGTACATGTAAATTGGGGACTGGTGACTTTTTGCCATCTTTTTTTTTTTTTTTTTAGCAATTTACCAATGTATTTACCTGCTTGACCTTGAATATGTTGAGGTGCGCATCCTTTTTCTTCGTGTTCCTCCACGATATTTTATTTAATGTAGCAGAAAGATACTATGGATAAAAAAAAATATGAAAAATTAAAAGCAAGTATGGCATCTCATAGAAAAAATATACAAACAGATGCATTTATGATATAGAGCAAGTAGATAACATTCATACAATAATAAAATCCTCAAACTTTGTGATCTAGTACATATTATGATATGTATTATATTAAATTTAGAGACGACAAAACATGATATCAAATGGGTGTACATACTCGGAACACATGGAATTTAAGAGTAAACTTAAATGCAAAGGTTAGCATCTACAGCATTTAACATGCAAGTTATTGGGATAATGAACAAGTGATTTAACATAAAGTAAAATATATTAACAACTTACACTGTAGATAACAAGTTTTTAAAGTGGACAACAAATGCAAACTTCCAGTAAATGGTGGCAATGTCATACACAATAAGTTGTACAACAAATGATTAGTTCGTACCTCATACTGGGTAGCCAAATATCTGGTCAAGTCACTTTCAGGAAAAGAGCCTCAGCAAGTTCAATATTGATCATTCCCATAGCTACTTCAAACTTTTCTGGCACAATTTCTGAAAGAAAAGATGTATCTTGCAGGGATTTTTATTCAAACTAGGAAAAATTCTCATGAATGTAAAAATTTGAAAAGTTTATAGATGACCGACGAATACCAGACACAGAACAGAAAACTCGCTCGGGTCTTAAAATGGCTCAGGTGAGCTAAATAAATCAATTCATGTGATTTTATTGATCTTATCAGAAAATTTAAGAAATCTTACCGCTGTGTTAATCTTCATATTGCTTTTGTCATTTCTTGTGAGCATTTGGATTCCTGTAAATAATGCATGCATAATTGTGCATCATAGAATGTGAAAGCTATTTTTAATCATTCATGCTTACATATTTAACGTAAATAAATTATGCATAGCTCAGAATCCATTGCTATTGTATTTTTAGGATAAGGAAAATAAAAATAAGAATATAAACCTCGTATTGTCTACTTGGTATATAGCATTTCAAGTTGTTGCAATATTTTTTATACTCTTATGCATAAAGATGGTAAGTTAATAAAACATTGTTTGTTTATTTGTGATAATAGAAAATTTGAGCGGTATGGTTCTCGCCATTTTCACAAGCTGTGTACATAGCCGGCGTTATGGGGAATCGTCTTAGGCACAGTCCACACTGCAACTATTTAAATAATCAAAATAAGTGCTCAATATATTCTTGAGTAGGCATTAAGAAATAAATAAATAATTTATTACATTGTACAACACTCTCTGTAAATGCTGAACAGAGGAACACTTTAGTGACAAAAATTCTGAAACCAATCCCAAACGAGAAAATTCTGGTTAAAATCCATCTTTAAGTTAGATGCCATTGGTTAAAAGTGTTAAATAATTATTACAAAATGTAAAAGCGCTTGCCGAAACGTTTTTACTGCCAGGCATTTTATGTGTACAGCCCAGACTAAGGAACAGTAACATTATCAGTAGCAGAGGCAATTATTCATTCAAGGACACATGCTAAAATTTTGTACATTGTTCATACCGCTAAACAGGGTCGTAAATGTCTTCATCTTCTGTTAAAACATAAATTCCATCCAAAGTTTATCATGCTTCTCCTTTTCGAGTAACTCTCTTTCGCCCCTTCCTCCCGTACAACATCATGATCAAGTTCAACATGGCTGCGTAGAACTCTCCAAAAAATTGAATTTCGGCGCGGTGTGTTGTTTTTAAATAAATTGCTTTTCAAGCCCGACTTCGATCCCGATGTAATTGTACTACAGTGGTAGTCGATAGAGAAAAAAACTAAGTTATATTCCACAGTTTTGAAAAATCTACATAAGGGTTAAATAAATAAAAATGAGAAATAAATAAATTAGAATGAATAGGGTGCCTAAATATTTTTTTTCAAAAATGTTTCAACATCAGTTTACATTAGGTGTAAAGAATTATTCATGACATATTCAAAATACCAAAAATGTACTTAAACTTTAAGTATAAGCATATTTACTTTTACATGTCGATATTCTTAAACGGGACGTATAATAATCTCAATTAAACTATATTATTCTCGACGTATTTTGCATTAAATATGATTATACTTATTTGAAAACTGTATTTAATTATATCACAATATATCTCATGTAAAATTTACCGTTATACATAAATTAAATTCAATACAAGAAATTTACTGGGGTAAACGAATTTATTAAATTATATTAAACGCGACTTTTCATGCAGTGTTAATTAATATTGCCATTGTGACCTCCTATATTGCTTTTTTATTCGACACGTATTTAAGGTTTCCCAAAGCAAAACATGGACATTGCCATTATATGTTTACCTAGGACGTCACATATAGAAGCTTTGATAGGACGAGTTATTCCTTTTTACACATTACCGTAAAACAATATATAAGCAACACATGATGTAATCGCGTAACCTTTGATCTAATGTCATTCAACATTCAAAGAGGGCGGGACCACGGTTTGCCCACCTACTACGATTGAAGGAAGTTTTGTTAACTTCCGGTAGCAACTACGTTTTCCTGATTACAAGATCATAATTCGGACACAATTGCAAAATTGCAAAATGTTTATGAGTAAGTGTGAATTTACAATTATAACGATATTTAGTCAAATCTATTTGATAAGTATAAAGGTTCATGATAAAATCTGAGTTAGAATATCAAATAAAGGTACGATTTATAAGAAAAAAAAAATAACCACACGTAATTTCTTTCGACCAAAAGATCCTATAAAATGTTGGTCATAAAATGGCGTTTAATTTTACAGCCACGTTGACGACATTGATATCTTTTTGGGGGGTATTTTGGAAACACCTCGCGCAGACGCAGTAGTAGGTCCGCTTTTTGAATGCTTATTAAGATGGCAATTCAAGGAGCTTGGGTTTTGGGGATAGATATTAGTACGAAACGAGGGGGATAGAGGGATTCTCTAGAGGTATCTAAAAATGTTTTATTTTAGGAAAGGTATTAGATAAGACAAAATAAGATATAATCTTGACAACCGGATAACATTACAATTTTGTCTTTTGGACTAAATACATCCTGCTTTTATTTCTTGAACTCATAAAGATTGAATTTACTCGAATGTACAATGAAATAATTGAACAGATGGAATTATTTAATAAAATACGTTTAAATGAAATAGAAAAAAATACGTATTAACATCTAAAATGTGGTATTTTACCTTTGATCCACTTATAATAATAATAATAATTTAAAATTTTAAATTGATCATGCTCTAAATTTTTTTTTTTGCCTTTTGCTAATTTACTTACTAATGATACTTACAAATAAACAGTGATCAATTAAGCGACGAATATGTTATTGTGCTTTTTCAGATATACATTTGATAGGATAATGATTCTGACAGGTCAGCTGAGAGAAATAAGAAAAATGACGTTTTCTTAGATTCTTTGTGAGACGTTGAATATGGATGCCATTCAGAAAGAAGTTTTCAACTTCGTAGTACCAAAGTAAGTATTAGATTTAACTTCAGCATTGATTAACACTTATCTTTTCAATTTCAAATTTTGTTGCTCACTTAAGGAAAAGAGTGGTTTTCAAAAAATTAGATAATTAGCTATTAGAGACATTATGTTCGGATTTTAGTAAGTATACCAAGTTTATACATATACGAGGGTTGTCCCAAAAAGTCGTAGACAATGTTTATAATTTTTTAATTATGCAACCGATACTTACCAAATGTTGCAAAGATATAATATGGTCATTGTTCTTTAAAATTGTGAATTTTTAAATACATATCTTTCATATTAATAATATTAGAACGATTTATATGAAGGCCGGTAAGGCCTGTCGGCGCACGGACAAAATTCGGAATTAATTTACGCATATTACTATTACATTTGCTTTTATTTTTTAAGTACTATATAATACATTGAACTCAAATTTAAATCACCGAAACGAGCATAAAAATCTTAATATTATGTCAAAATTTCATATAAATATCATTAGAAACAGACGATTGGTGTCATGATTTTCACAGTATCGTTGAAATTGAGTTTGATGAAAATGACGTCGTCAAACGCGTAGTCGGCGCTCGGAGATGTAATAATTTGTGTTGGATATGATTAATATGTACATCGGAGACGAGAGAAAGAGTACAGAAGTAACATTTCACACCAGATTTTAAAGTAAAAAACAAACGGACAGTAGTGAATTTAAATATGTCCGTTAAGAGTGGTCTATCATTTAAAAAAATATTGAATGTTAATACCCGCTAGTGAAGCAAACAAAGAGATCATGACGTTATAAGAGACGTAATTTACGCTTGCTTTCGTGCGCCGGTGTACACTTATATTCTTTCTTTATTTTTTCATAATTTTCTTATAAGATGTGATATCATCATGAAACTTGAAGTGCATGACCTTAAAATGTTACTCTTTGCTATGACAAGGAAAATAAATAATAAAGCAAAGAGAAACAAAACTGTTTAACCTGTCCACGACTTTTTGGGACAACCCTCGTAATGTATATACTATTTTGTAAATAATATTTGAAGTAATGAGGGTTGTGATGTGTTGATGTTAAAAATTACATGTACAAACCTGGAAGCATAAATGCATATATTGAAAACTTTAAAATCACTTAATGGGTTTTCTTAAGCTATACTGGCAATTAATTATTCTTTTAAAACAATGATTCCAACATCATCGTTGTAAATCATAATTTTGTACATTGTACGATCATTTAAATACATGTAATCTTGTAAGCGTGGAATTTCATCAATGGAATATAAATTGACAAATATATTTCACACCAATTGTTATATGTGTGTATAAAAATTAAATTTCTCTAGCGAGTGTTAACGGTGGAAGGCGGATCTTTATTTCTAGCAGATGATCCCACCCCTGGAAATTCCAATGGTGTTTGATTTATCCCCTGATCACTATTGATATTAATTGCAAATTTTCGGAGATCTATCATGCTTGATTTTTTTTACGGTAACTTTTTCTTTATATACAGCATTTCTTAGTCCATCTATGCTTTAAAAAACGGTAAATTTAGCTTCAAAGGTATTAATTACATTTTTATGAATATGTCAACTTTTATTCTTTTTACAGAAATCCCCGAGTAAAGTGTTTTTCATTACCTTTCATGGATCTCTCGGAGTGGAAGAAATCTTTTTTTCCCTTTCATTGACTGGTCAAGATTCTTTACTTCAGGATAATCTTTAAATGAATAGAACCGTGTATTATGACATGAACTAGGCTTTGAGCCCCGGAGGAGAATGGAAGTATCCTTTGTGTGTCGAGGATATACATGTAAATTTGTTTTTATGTAAATTTTCATACAGTCATACAATCTTGCCTAATATCCTTGTTACAGTGTAGTTATTTCGCTTAATATTTACCTGATGTATATACCTGGTGTATTTACAAATTGTATTTATTCTTGTTATACATTAAGATGAAATGAATATTTTATTTTTACGTTGACAGCTTGTTTATCTACTGAATTTAGGAGCACTTTCATAGCGATATCATATCAATGTCATGAGCAAAA